CGATGGAGGTGCCGAATTCGGGGAGCGTTTTGCCCGGGGTCTTGAACAGTGGGGGGTTTGCGCCGCGTGGGATGCTGATAGCCCGTGACGACGTGCAGGGGGTCTCTGGCTGGGGGGACATGATCAGCACCGCTTCGGAGCAGGACGCGGCAGGAGCTGAGTTCGCCAGATCTCAGAGAGTCCGAGCTGCCGTCCGTCGCCTGGCCGTAGAGGCCAACTCTCGCGAGGAGATCGCTCGCGCCCCCCTTGCCAGAGCTCCAGCCGTGAAGGAGTTCACCTCGGGCCAATGGGTGTTTGTCTGGCGCAATCTAAGCAGGGCCTCCTCTCGAGCCGACGCGCTCGGGAGACGCAGGGGGTCGTGGTTCTGTGCGAGAAGGGGGGCGCTGTTTGGGCGGCGGTTCGCCCCGGGTTGTGGGTGTGCTATGCGGAGCAAGTCAGGCTTGCCGGCCTGGGCGAGGAGTTCGGCGTGCAGCTCGCCCAAAGCCCGCAGTGGAAGGACCTGTTAGATCATGCCCAGACCCGTGGAGCCTCCGCGGTGGATGTCCAGCGCGAGGGCCCTCCCCCCGACGACGCCTGCCACGAGCCAGCTCGCCGCGACGCGAGCGGGGCTCCATGGGTCCCGCCCCCTGGGCCAGAGATTGCCGTCGGGCCCGACGAGGCCCCCGCCCCGGAGGTTCCCCCCATCGGTGTTAGGGCCCCTGGGGACCGCGGGGGGCAGAGCTCTCAGTTTCGGTCGAGGCTCGAGCCGGCGGCGAGAGGGCTCGATCACATCCACCGCGGAAGAGACAAGCATGCGCCCCTCTCCCGTGGTCACTCCTCCGGGGGGCCTCTCGAGGCAGATGTCGGACCATCGGCCCCCAGGTCTCCCCGGCCCCGCCGAGGGGCCCGCCTTGTGTCCTCCTCCTCAGAGACAGGGGCGCCCATGCTACGCAGGCTGGTTCCACCGGAGGGCGTTCCGGCCTGCGTTCGCAGCGCCAGGGCGGCGAGCAGCACTCCGGATGTCAAGTGGGCTCGGTTCGAACCGGGCTCCGAGATTTCCCCCGTCTCTCCCGCTCCTTTCTCTCGCTCGATCCCCCTGCCTCTGCCAGGCCCGCTGCCGGCCCCTTGGCCTCCCCCCCCCGGGCCCGGGGCGAAGGGGGGCGAGGTCAGGTCCATCGTCGCTGGGGGCGAGCCCCGTCGCCCAGTGGCAGAGCGCGCGCGACTTCGAGGCTGGGCCTGGCACCGCCAGCCGCGGCGGGAGTCGCTTCCCTCCCGGAGAGCAGCTCGAGGATTTCTTCCTTGCCCCCTCATGGTGGTGGCGGTGGAGTCCAGGCTTTCCAGGCCTCCGGGCGCCAGGGCGACTGGACTGGACTGATAGACAACGGGGGGGGATTCCGCGCCTTTCTGCGCGGCCAGTCGAGGAGGCGAGGTCTCTCTCACGAATCTCTCGCCGGCCTCAGAGGGAGAAGTCCCCCCTCGCTGACCATGGGGAGTGGGGCTCCGTGATGGGGGCCCGGGCTGTTGAAGTCATCGCCCCTGGCGAGGCCGAGGTCATCCGTGAGGCTCAGCCAGACAGAATCATTTCGAGTCGGGTGGTCCGCAGGTGGAAGCCCCTCGAGTGCGCGGGGTCAGAGCCCGCGGTCGAATCTCGGTGGTGCGTGCGCGGCCACAGAGATCCCGATTCGGGTTCGCTTCAAATTTATGCCCCTACCGCTGAGACATGGACTATTATGATATTCGTGCAGGTGCTCATCTCATCATGTTTGTGGACATCGCGGATGTCAGGGATGCGTTTTGCCAATCGGTCCCTGTGGCCAGTGCCCAGGGCAGCATCTACGTTGAGCCCTGTGAGGGGGTGGGCGTGCCGAAGGGGCCCCATCGTCTTCCTGGCAGTTCACGTCTGCGGCCTTGACGACGCCCTGGTGGCGTGGAGGAAGACGTCTGTCAAAGTTCTTGAGCGGCAAGGTTTTACCGCGAGCATTTTAGAACCGTGCTGGTGGGTCCGATGCGGGGCCGAGGGGGAGGTCCTGAATGTGATCCTGTTCGAAGTTGACGATTTCATTGGGGGCTCTTCCGCCTCTGCCCGGGGCTGGCTCGGGAAGCAGCTCGAGGCCAGGTTTCTGTTTGGTAAATGCCGCGGCCGCCATTCAGGGCCCGTGGAGTTCGCCGGGCGCAGGGTAGGTATCGGCCCTGAGCAGGCCTCCGCGGGCATGGAAAGTACATTCTGAAAGAAGTGGAGCCCCTTTCCATGAGTGCGGGCCGCGTGTCCTCCAAGAACGCACCGCTCGATCAAGCCGAGTTTCGAGCCCTGCGCTCTCTTGTTTGCAAGTTTAACTGGGTGGGCAGAGAGACCCGTCCAGAGGCAGCCGGCGTTGCCAGCGTCCTGGTCAGTCGAGTCCGAGCTGCCGCGACGGGGGATGGGGATGTCGCTCTCGCCAACAAGTTAGCCAGACATCTTCGTGCCGCAGTTTCGCGGGGCCTCGCCGTGTGGAAGTTGGGTCCGAGTCAACTCGCCTTTGCCGTGTTTTCTGATGCAGGAGGCGCGGGGGCCTTCGACGGTCGCGAGGGCGACCGAGGCCCGCCAGAAAAACCGACCCAGGGTGCCTGGATGGTGTGCGTTACTGATAAAACATCATCGAGAAGCGTTCCGTCAGAGGCCTCCATACTGGCTGGAGGTGTTGCAAGCTACGTAGGAAAGTTCCCTCAACGCTCGCCGGAGAGACCCAGGCTCTAGCAGCAGCAGTGTCAGAAGTGGAGTGCCCTCAAGTTACATTTCGAGATTTTGATGCGAGCGATCACTCTAGGGGAGCAGGGCCGTTCACGACCGTGTTGAGGAGCATTTTTTTGGGGCTCGAGGGAGCCCCAAGTGCATGTGGTTGACGCCAAGAGTATTTATGATACCGTGCTGAAGGAAGGGAACGCCAGTGCGCGTGACAGACGCACGGCGATTGACCTGGTTATTCTAGGTGAACCTCTGGAGCGCGCTAAGGGCCATGTGAGATGGATTCCACATGGACTCATGCCAGTATATGCTCTCGCGAAGGACGATGTGACCAAAACCAACGCAGCCCTCTTTGACTTAATGATCAGTGGTAGGTTGGTCCTCGTCGACGAGGGCGAGGACGTGGAGCGTCGCAGGAAGACACCGGGTGTGCGAAGTAAAGCCAGGTGGCCTCTCGCAAGGTCTTGGACAGCGTGTTCGTTTCCTGGACGGAGTGTCTGGACCGTAATCGTGGTGGTGGTAGTGGTCCTAATGCCCTCTCCTCCTCCTCCTCCTCCTCTCCTGTCCTCATATCGTCTACCTTTCAATGCTATGCAATCTCTGTCTCTTTCTTTTCTTTTTGGGGCAGTCTCCAGAGTAGACTGCATCTGCCTGTCGCAGCAGACTGGCAGCCAGGGCTGCAACACCTAGGAGAAAGTCTTACTTGTGTAACAGGAAAGCAGGTTTTGTGTCATAGGTTTTGCATGTGCTGTGTACCCAATGTGTCCGATGTAACTCGGCACTTTGGCTCGAGGGCAAAACAACTGCATGCGCTTGCTGCTGCCGCACCTGGCCTCCCGACCTGGCGTGGGGTGCTTGCCACTCATCCCCCCTCGTCTGGTCGCGCGAGCCAGCTGCGTGGCCGCGGTGCGACTTTGGATTTCCCGTCACCGCGTTGGACAGAACATCCTTCTGCAGGCCTCCAGCTGACTGGACAATTTCAGGGACGACTGTGCGCGAAGCATTTTTTCTGATAACTGGCAGCTTGCAGACAATCTTCGAGGATAACATTTGGGAGAACGTTGGTGTTGCGACGGGCATGGCGTCTTCCTTCAGGAATCTTCCACGAGCTTCCAGTGAGCTTCCAGGAGCTTCCAAAGGCTTCCAAGGATTTGTAGGGGCCGCACGAAGGCGGCACCGCTGCGCAGGGCAGCGCGACCATGCTGGAGCCTCATAACAACCCATATGGCGAGCTCCAGGCGCTCCAGGAACCCTCCTGAAAGTTTCCCAGCGACCTCCGTGGGCCTCCACCTTTTCAGTTTCCTCTATTGGGCCTCCAGAGGGTTTCCCAATGCGCAGAGTTGCCTCCCCCACCAGCAACGCTTCGCACGCAACGCTTCGCACAGTTAAAGGTCCTCAAGTCCTCATGCTGGCATCGTTCTTGGCTCAGAAGGAGGTCCTCATGGCCCCACTTGGTTCAAACAACCGAGCAGGATGCTGCCGAAGCGAGGTTTGGGAATTTAATTCGAGACGGATCCGACCAGGAAAAACGCAAGTAAGCAGCTCGGCACTGCTGCAGTTCCGAGGAGCTCAGATAGGTACCTTCCCTTCCCATCCTGAGGGCCCACCCCTCTCCGCTTCTGTCTCCTTCTTCTCCAACTGAACCGTTCTACCTTCTCCTTGCTCTCATTTTCCTCGCCAAGGCAAGGTCCAACAATGGCAAGACAATGAGGGCCTGAGAGGCAAGGGAGAAAGCAAGCCCATTGACTGCGCATCGATGACACAGAAGTGTCGCGTCAGAACAATTTCCAGCCTCGTGATATGACGCTCGTTGTCCACTGCTACTTGGACCTGCCGAAGGAGTGGTTCCTTGTCGCGTGTCCCGGGTGCGTCCGAATTTTTTTCGTCAACGCTTCCACACAGGGTGCTTCTAAGGAAGGGCAGGGTGGTGGGAGGAGGGATGTTTGCAGGAGGAAAAGGAGGAGGCGGAGGTGGAGGAGGAGGAGGAGGAGGATGGGGAGGGGAGGAGGCGGGGAGGATGGGGGGAGCAGTAAGTAGCAGACAGAGCGAAGAAAAATACATCGAAGGAGGGCGAAGAGAATACTCTCTGGTCTCGCATGCGTCCGTCTGGCCGCCCGTCTGTTTTTCGTCCACCTGTCCATTCTTCCATTCGCCCAGTCCCCCTCCTTACCCGTCTCCGTTCCCGACACTGTCCCCGTCCCTGTCCCCGTTCCCAACCCCTGTCCCGCCCAGCGTGCAAGAGATTGTGATAGAAATTTCCTGACCCGCTTCACGATGTGGGCGGCCTTCGGGCTCACAGGCCCCGGTGAAGACCGACGAGGACGCAAGGCCGGTCTTCCCGTTCGCAGCCATCGTGGGACAGGCCGCCTCGTTTCGTCCTCGTGCGGGGTGGAAGGGTGGTTTGGCGTGCTTCCCAAATCAGCTGAGTGCGGCGGATAGGGAAGAGGAGGCGGAGGAAGAGGAGGAAGAGGAGGATGATGAGGAGGAGGAGAAGGAGGAGGATGAGGAGGAGGAGGAGGAACACATGTTTCAAGATGGTCCCTCGTGCTACTGTGCGACTGCTGGTGGTTGGCTCAAGAACTAATCGCCGTCAGGTGGTGTATGCACTCTCAGCTCTGACTGCTTACTGTAAAGCCGTGCCCTATCTTCGTCACGATCGTTCTGTTGAATTTGCATGGTCGCGGAGCGAGGTGATGACTTCAGTAGCTGCCTTACCGTGTACAACGTATACTCAAGGTGGCTATGAGTTCGTCAAAGCAGGCCAGCAGGCTAACCATGACAAGACGACGAGAGCGACCTTGAAGAACAAAGGTGCACTGCTAACCAAGACTTGCCCAGAGAACACGTGATGCCACATGTTCGGAACGTTTAACGCAGCATTCTTGGTAATCACCAATCGCGAGAATGAGCACGAAGTGTATACCACGCTGGTGAACATGCGAATGGCCGCATTGGAGAGACTACTCGAAGAACAATGAACAACATTGTGTTCCTCGTCCAGTTAGCGCCAACGGGAGGCTCTAACAAGCGCAAAACCAATCAAGTGAGCGAAGCAAAGGAATCCAGTCGTTGAATAGCTTCAGCGGAGATCGGTCGAAGTTCCGTGAATGTAATGACAGATTACCAAGCGCATTAGCACAGGTCAACAATGGGAAGCGCAAGGGTTTTACATTATTGAGTTTTCAGTTAGAGACAATGGACGGATCTGTGCCCGATCCGAGCGAAGAGAGCGATACTTCAATAATTTCCAACGGGATAATGACGGCAACATGCTGAAACACAGTACTCGAGAGGAGAGACGAGAGCAACAGCGAAGTCGAAAACGTTTTTCGACGAGGATGGGATCCACACACTAGACGAGGACTTATGGTACATTCTAACCGAAACGTTGGAGAGCGTTGATGCGCGAGGCACACTGTACGGCCTCGAAGAAAGCGCAGTCGTCACGGTTGACGTGATGCGCTCTGTCGTAGCAGTGGTGACATTATCGGCCAACATGAGCTCGGCCATGAACCCCGTAAAGCCTCATACGATAAGTCGCGCATCAGTCTAGCTCGAGCAGTGGAGTGCACTGGCAGAGAAGCTCGACCAGTACGGTACGTCCTACCAACTGCCTTTAGCGTTCCAGATAACGGTTCTGAAGATAGTGACAACACACGTCGGGGAGCGGCTCGACGATTGGCAACAATTTTGCTTGCGTCACCAGACGTGGATATGAATTCTATTGGATGTTCGTTGGGATCTTGTGGGGGGCCTCTCGGGGGTGGAGGCCTCTCGGGGGCCGTTTTGGAGCTTCTTGGGGCCTCTTTCGGGCCTCTTGGGGGCCTTTTGGGGTCTTTTGGGGCTCTTGGGCGCCTCTTGGGGCCTCTTGGGCGCCTCTTGGGGCCGCCTGGGCGACTCTTGGGGCCTTCTGGGGGCTTTTTGGAGCGGAAGGCTAGATTTTTGGTTCGTGTTCCGCCTGTGCCCCTTTTGGGGCCGTCTTGGGGCCCTCTTGGGCCGTCTTTGGCGCCTCTTGGGCCGTACTGGGGCGCTCAGTCCGTCTTGGGGCCCTCTTGGATGCCTCTTGGGCCGTTTTGGGGTGGTCTTGGGGGCCTCTGCGGTTGTCGTGGCGCTACGTACAGCCGAGTAGGCGAGAGCCCCCAAATCCTTCAATATTACGGAACATCAATGGTTTTTGTCTCTTGGGGCCTTGTTGGGGGGCCTCTCGGAGGCTTCTGGGGCCGTCTTCGAGGCATCTTGGGCTGTCTTTGGGCCATGTTGGGCGTCTCGGGCCGATCTCTGGGCGTATCGGGGTTCTCTTGTGCCGCCTGGAATGCCTCCTGGAGCCCTCTTGGCCCGTCTTGTGGCCCCTCTGGCCTTGGCAAAGTCGTGCGAGACCCCGCGGGGAGCCCCAGTACAGTGGAGAATTTTGGGTCCGGGCCCAGACTCCTCGGGACTGAGGACTGAGGCTCCAGGGATTAAGCAAAGGACCTGGGGACGCCCACTCCGCGCCCAGAACTAACGCGGCGGATGTAGGAGATGCGGGGATTTGGCTCGGGGAACAAATCGATTGGATGCTCGCACTGATGAGATGCGATGGACATCTGAGGGTGGACAAAGCAAGAAGAGCGCTTTGATTAATTGAACAAGCAGCCTGCCAGGATGACGAGGAGGGCAGATGGTTGCCCCTGGACTCGTGGACGAAGATGGTAACGCAGGCTGGAGTGGCGACCAAAAATTGGGTGAAGGAGACGTGAGCAGTCAATGAAGGTAACAGTGAATCAAAGGTCACAAAAAGGGTAACGACGCCAGCTGCAAGGCTGCGGGCAAGCAGTCAGGTCAACCTGGGGGTAAGCCGGGCAGCAGGGGCTACGCGCTCACGAGTGAGCACAATTTGTAGTACAAGTGCGGACAAATGGGCCGCATTGCAGGCACCAGCATCAAGGGAGCCAACGAAGTTGGACAGGCCAGCAGTGAGCAAGGCACATATAACGTTGGACAGCCCAACTGAAGATGGACCCAGGATGCGCGCGTGAAATGGGAAGTCGATTCGAATGCCAAAAGGTGATGTGCCAGAAATATTGCCATCGTGAGGCCGTCCCCGAGGATGCTCCGGAATCTACCGTAGAGATTCTGGTGGTTGGTGTTGGCTCGGGAGCTTTTAACGCAATTGGGCCGCTGGATGTTGGGGCACACTTCCCAGGGAAACAGACGGAGGCCTCTGGAAAACTGTCGCCGTTGCAGCGCGGCCAACAGAGCCGCGAGGAAGAACCGCGGGCAGCGGGTGCTTGCAGGGAAAGGCGAAGCAGGCGACGAGGCAACCATGGCCATGCAAGTCGCCGACGTCAAGAAAGCATTTGGATCTGCTGGAGAAGTAGTGGAAACTGGTAACAAACTAGCCCTGGATCGTGATGCTCGCGGCAGATCGCGCAATCATCTGGAGCGTGAGGCCTCGGGCAGGAGGACAGCGATGCGCGAGCGTAATGGAACCGCCACCCAGTTCACCATTCGGGTTCTCCAGGGAAAGGAAAGCTGGTGCAGCAGGTGGATGGGGCAGAATTTTTCTGTTGCAAGGCACGGATTCGTTCAGGAAAGCCTCTTCCATTGGGCCCTATAGGCCCCGTTGAACCAGTGGAAAACGTGAGCGACGGCAGGAGTGGGGGCGAGGATGAACGCGGGCAGGGGGGTGAGAAGGAAAGCGGCATGAGTGAAGTCGGAGATGTGTTTGTACGCGAAGAAGCCGAAACAGTCAAGGGAGTAATTTGAGACCCTCGCCCCAGCAAAGCAGACTAAGAACGCTGCAGTGCCGGCCACTTGCCTCCTCGTAGCTGGCGCCGCTGATGAAGCACCAGTCATCTCAGCTGACTGCACGTGTCTAAAGAGCGAAAATTTGAATAATGGGATTCATACAAGAGAAAAGATGTGAAGAAGACGAACCGGGAACTCCGATGCTAGTGATGCACTGCAGGACGACGAAGATGGCGTGGAATATGTGATATCTATCACTGGGGACAGGAACGTAATTGTAAAACGTGTTGGTATCATCCACATCCGCTCTGAAGGAATCTGCGAGGTCTTCAGTATCGCTGGAAATGGGAATTGACATCAGTCCAGTAGGAGACCTCAGGAGCTAATAGGCGCGTCGAAAGAGCAGTTCGAACCGTTCAAGGTCAAGTGCAGACCTTGAGAAGCACAGTGGACGCCAACTGCAAATCCGAGCTCGCTGAGGATCGCCATCTGGTTTCCTGTGTGGCGTCGCGCGCTTCGTCGCTGATTAGCAAAGTCTACCATCAGAATCGATGGTGGGCCCGTTCGTGAGCGGCGCCGGGGGCGCAAGTTCAACGAGGCATTGCCGGAATCTGGAGAAAGCGATCTGTTTCTCAAGGCTGGAACCAAAGGGAGACGCATAGTTGAACCTGAGTGGGAGTCAGGGGTGTTCCTGGGTATATTTCTATAGACACATACATACAGACATACATATATACACATAAATATGTATAAAGATGAACAAGTTGACTTCGCAATCGGATCAGACACAGGAGCTATCATAACCACAAGGGTATCGCCGCAAAGGCAGTGATGAAGAAAGTTGGGGCTCCGAACCTATGATTTCCATTGAAAGTCCACCGTGGCAGCCAGACCCTTGCGCGATGAGCAGCGAGTTGCTGTCCAGAGTCGTTGTGCTCATGCCTTCGTTGCCAGCGGAATCAGGGAAAGCTCGGGCTCGGTCGCGCATGGTAAGAGACATTGCTGTTAAAACATCCGAAGCCACAACCATGGGGGCCGCGCCAGGGCGCTACGGATGCCGTGCCATTGCCAGAGGGAGTCCTCGCCGCAAGCGTCGCAACACCGAATTCACCGCAAGGGCTATGGTGTGGGTAACAGCACAAGAGGACCACAGAGTACAGGCTCGGCTATCCTCGGCGCAATTGAGGTTTGACGTAACCGCCAAAGGAGAACTTGAGAAGCTAGAAAAGGCAGGGAGGAGGGAGGAGGGAGGAAGGAGGAGGGATAATAGAAGAGGGAGGAGGGAGGATGGAGGAGGGATGAGGGGCGGGGTAGGAGGAAGGAGGGAGGAGGGAGGAGGGAGGAGTGAGGGGGGAGGGGGGAGGAGGGAGGGGGGAGGAGGGAGGAGGGAGGAGGTTGGAGGGAGGAGGGAGGCGGGAGGATGGAAAAGGGATGAGGGAGGAGGGAAGACTCACACCGCGTGGGTGGCAGTTGACGATATAATGGCAATTTGGAAAGGTGTGGAGGTACGTTGGGCCCTCCCTTAGGGACGTCTTCGTAGGCCGAAGGTCCCTAGCGGAGTCCTCGGCCCCTCTTGCGGCTATTGACGCCGTCGTGAGTAGATGTGGGGGGGAACCACGCAGCCCCGATGATGGA